AAAGCGGGAAGTCGTCTTGTTCTTCATCATAGAAGAAGTGGAAGTCAAACTGCTCAGCAGAAGTGGGTCCTTACCAAAGATGGACGTATTCAATTAAGAGATAAAAATTTCGTGCTTGAAGTTAAAGACAAACATGTTATTCTTTGTGACGCTGGAAAAACCTTCAAGAATCCCCTGGCTTCACAATTTCATATAATGCCACTCCATCCTGTGAAGAAAGGTAATTTACTTTTTCAAAATTTTTATACTTTTTTTTTAAAAAATAATTAATTCATCAATAAACCATTATTAGGTGGTGCCGCTATTGGGGTTGTTAGACTAGAATTGATTGGCGCTAAAGGCTTAAAAGGTGTTGATTCTTTCTTGGCTGGTGGTAAGTATACTTTATCGATATAATCTATCTCATTCAATTTAATTCAATTTAATTCAATTTAAATATTTTTTAATTAAAATTAATTAGGAAAATCTGACCCTTATGTTCGAGTATTCCACGCTGGTAATAACAAAGACATTATCGCTCAAACTAAAGTCATAGACAATGACTTGAATCCAGTGTGGAATGAAGTTCACTATCTACCAGTTAGATATATTGGTGAAAAGCTCATTTTGGATGTGATGGATTTTAACACTTTTATAAAAGATAAACCGCTTGGAAATTGCCATTTAGAAATTACTCATGAGCTTGTTAAAGAAGTTTCAGAAGGTGTTTATGAAGGAAGTGCAAATGGTATTGACGTGTGAGTAGAAGAATTTTTATTTAATAAAAGATAAAAAATAAAAAATAAAAAAAATAAAATAATAATAATAATTAAATAATTATCCTGATGTATATTATATATTTTAGTACGGCAAAGCTTACCATTCAAGGTCATATTCATTACAAAGTGAAATTCTTCCCATTGGAGCCTCTTCCAAAACCTTCTCCCGATTTTCTTGCCAAACTTAAAGAGAAACCTTTTGGTCGTTCAGCATTTTATGTTCTTATCACATTACAAGCTCCAAATGGTGGTTTCCCTCCTTCTGATACATTAGCCAATCTATTTGGTTTTGAA